CGGACGAATTTTTAAAAACTTGTTGGTTATTAATAAAAATATCTTATCGAGGGTCTGTAATTTACCTCGTTATTTGTATAGTCATCGAGATCCGCAACTACAAGAAGGTTACAGAACTTTGATCTTATTTTTAAAAATTTGTCCGCCATGTTGAATTTTAAAAAACTGATCAGTGACCCAAAAAAACCACAAAAGATGACGATAAATTACATTTTCTAAAAAAGTCGAGCGTTAAAGTGTTAAGTAATTTATAAATGACCGCATATTAAAAAGAAAAAATTTTTTAATCAACAATGAACCTAAAATTGATCTCCTTTATCGACAGCAAATAAAAGAAAGTCGATCCCAACCTTTTTTTTGCAACTCTAACGTGAAAGTTCACCTTCTTTACCCCCTCCCCTCCATATACACCTCAATAATCGATTCTTTTATAAGCAATACGTGTATGTAAGAGCGAAAATAGTTGAAGAGTGATGTTGTGCATTTACTGGCCGAACTATAGCGCGCGCAGGCGATGCGCACTCACACAATCCAGGAAGAAAAAAAAATTTCCTTCTTTTTCGAATATATATAGTATAAGCGGGTGGGGATTATAAATTGGAGGAAGAGAGAGATGATGCGCGAAAGCAGCATGGTGGGCATCGCACACAGTAAGTGAGTGAGTGTATTTTATTAAGAATGTGTTAGTGACGCGGCGGTTGGTTATCCTCTCACTCACTCACTCTCTATAGATGAATTGTAACCACCTGACTGTTGTCAACGCGTCGGCGCAAAATCAACATCGTTGTCGTCGTAGTTCGTGTGTCCCAGGTCTTTTCGCGCTCTCTGCGGTCCGACACGCATATATATATATACACACATAACACAAGAGGAGGCAAAATGAGTCAAGGGGATCAATAAAAGAGCGATATACAAACGAGTTCCGAGTCGGCGGAAGTTGAACGAGAGATAGTGGCGTCGTCCACCAATCCTGATTCGCGATAATATACATACTTGACACGGCGCTGAGAGTCTTCTATAATATGTTTGTTATATACGGTAAAGGCGTGGGCAAGCAGCGTGACTCCACAAGGAGTTAGGGAGCGAGAGGCGAAAAAACCATTTTTTTTTTTACATCGCATTACGAAATAGTTTGTTAATTTTTAATCGCCAGTCATTTAACTTTGCTGATGATCGTTAGTGGCAAAATTCGACCAAATATCATGAATATTACTGCAAAATTACTAGGCAACGTTACAATGTTGACAATCCTATTATCCTATTAGGGGCCAGTTTCACCAACTCCAATTAAGAGTTAATCAATGATTAATGGCATTTTAACCGCCTATGATTGGTCTGTTAAGGATTTAATCATTAAATTGATTAAATTTTAATCGGTGTTAGTGAAACCGGCCCTTAGTGATCGAATCGGGAATCTAAATCTATGCCCAAGGTGCTAAATCAATAGATTTAGTACCTTAGACATTGAATGTCACTAAACAAGACCTAAATCTACTGATTTAGCACCTTGGATGTCAAATGTAACTAAATAGGATCTAAATCGATGACCAAGGTCCGAAAACAATAGATTTAGCACCTTGGGCATCAAATGTCGCTAAATAGGATCTAAATCGATGTCCAAGGTCCTAAAACAATAGATTTAGCACCTTGGGCATCATATACCACTAAATAGGACCTAAATCTATCAATTTAGGACCTTGGGCATCGAATGTCACTAAATAGGATCTAAATCGATAGATTTAGATCCTATTTAGTGGCATTCGATGCCCAAGGTCCTAACTGAATCCAAATCGAACATTAATTCTGTTGTTTCCTTAGTGCGAACCGAACTCGACACTAAGCCTAACTTCTCCAATCGGAACCAAAGCTTATTGTCAATTTTCTTTCTTCAATATATTTGAAACCTTATATTGCTAAATCTTGTTTCTTTATAGTGCAAGTAAAACCTGGTACTAAAATTTGTCTGTTTATTGAAAGCAGAACTTGACACTAGTCTAGTTCACTGAATCTAGTTTCTCCAGTAGGAACCGAATCTAATAAACACAGAATCTGGCACTAAATTTATTTTCTTTCTTGGCTGTCAAATCTGCTATCAAATCAAATTTCTCTAATGAGAACCGAATCTGACCCAAAGAACCTGGCACTAAATCTATTTCCTACTTTGATAGGTTCGAAATCTGCCTCCAAATCAAGATTTTCTAGTATGGGAATCAGGCAGACTTCGCACTCAATAATTAATTTTTTAAAAAAACAGCAAAAAGTATAGTTTCCAAACTTTTCCAAAGTAGCTTCCTGACTTTTTCCTAATTTTCATCAAAAATATTTACCTCTTTCTTGTCCAGCTAATAAATTCAATTCTTGCAACGAATTTTATTATTCATCAAAGAATTTCAATATTTAGAAAAATAATTGAAATCCTGAGAAATTTTTATTATTCATAAAAAATAATTGAATTCTTACGATGATTTTTACAAAAAATCTTTTTAAATAATTGAATTTCTTTGGGGAATTTTATGAAAATAGTAGATATTCAAAATCATTGTGTCGTATTTTATTAAATTTTTTAGAAAATAATTAAATTTCTAAAAAATATTTTATTATTTGTGAAAATAATTGAATTCTTGCGAACGATTTTATTAGATTTTTGAAAAATAATTGAATTTCCAAGAAAAAATTTATTAGGTAATTTTAAAAATAATTGAATTCTTTTGATGAATATTGTTATTTATGAAAATAATTGAATTTTGCAAAGAATTTTAAAACAACATTTTTTTTAAAATAATGGATATTTTTGAGAAATTGAAATTAAATTTTTAAGATTAATTACATTTTGTGAGCAATTCCTGTAAAATTTCATTAAAAATAATTGAAATCCAGCTATAAATTTTATTATTTATGAAAATGATTGAATGGTTGCTAAGAATTTTAATAAAATATTTTAAAAGAATTGGATTTCTGCGATAAATTTTGTTATTTTTGAAAATGATTATGAATTCTTTATAAGAATTTTATAGACATTGTCGTAAATAATTAATTTCTTAGAAATTTAATAAATATTATGAAAATTATATTTTAAATAATTGAATTCTTGTAGAAAACTTTATTTGTGAAAATAATTGAATTTTTCGATTAATGAATTATTTAAAATAGTCTTAAAAATAATTGAAATTCTTCGATGAGTTATTATTTATGAAAATAATTGAATTCTTGCTTCGAATTTTATCAAAATTTTTTTAAAAATTGAAATTCCATGAAAAATGTTATTATTAGTGAAAGTAATTGAATTATTGGGAAGAATTGCATAAAAATTTTGTTAAATAATTGATTAATTGAATCGTTTAAAAGAATTTGATTATATTTTTTGAGAATAGTTTTTGATTTCTGTTATTAGCGAATAAGTAGTGGAAATTTAAAAAAAAAAACAGAAATAACAGCTTTTAGTGGCTGAAATCTAAAAAAGTACCCAAATAGTAGCATAACTTAAAAAAAGTAGTAAATAGTAGGTTTTAGTAGATGAGTGCGAAGCTTGTATTTGAAACCTAATGCTAAATTTTATTTCCTTAGTGCAAGTGAATCCTGGTACTAAAATTTGTTTGTTTATTAAAATCAGAAGTTGACACTAAATCTAGTTTTTCTAGTAGGAACCAAATCTGACACTAAATCTAGTTTCTGTAATAGAATCAGAATCCGAAACTAAATCCAATTTTTCAAGTGGCAAACGAATATTACTGAATACTGAATCTAGAATAACTATATAGATTTTAAGGTAATTGACAAGAATGCTACTATCGAACGAAAAACCGGAAAAGAATTATCAAACAAAAAAGTACATTTAAAAAGATCTAGATACCAATGTTTGAGATAAGATTGAGGAGACAACATATTACAGGTTTGTAAAGTTGTAAAAAAGATTAGTAATAAAATGTTTGTACAGAATTTAGATAATCTTTCTCATTGCAAGCTATTATACGATTGGAGTTATTCCAAGCACGAAGCGGTTGGTGATTAATTTTTTCCCCTTTGGTATTTTTATTAATGTATTCCCGATTAGAAAGTGGATCTCGTATGCCAACACATGTGGTGCGGTGGTAGCACTAATACTTGTGACATTTAAATCGATTAACAAACTGGTACATTATTCTGATGGATGATTGCGCGGCTCCCTGGAGGCTTGTTCTACGAATCGTTTACTTGACTTCTGCTATTGCTCCTACCACTACTGCTGTACTGCTGCTTCTGCTCTTAGAACTGCTGCTACTATCACTATTAATGCTGCTGCTGTTACTACTACTACTACTGCTGCTACTATTGCTACTGCTGTTACTACTACTACTACTACTGCTGTTACTACAACTACTACTTCTGTTACTGCTACTATTATTTCTACTGCTGCTGTTTTTATTGTTACTTCTGTTGTTGTTACTGCTGTCGCTACTGTTATTTCTGCTACTATCGCTATTAATGCTGCTGTTTCTACTGTTATTTCTGTTCTTGTTACTGCTGCTGTTGTTGCTACTGTTATTTTTGCTACTATCGATATTAATGATGTTGTTGATTCTGCTATTTCTAATGCTATTACTCTTACTGCTGCTGTTGCTACTGTTATTTTTGCTACTGCTGCTGATACTACTGCTATTATTCCTACTGCTGCTGTTACTACTGTTATTGCTGCTACTACTGATGCTAATACTTTCACCACTACTTTTGTTAATGCTATTTCTGCTACTACTACTGCTGCTATTACTCTTACTAATCCTGTTTCTACTGTTAATTCTGCTGCTGCTTCTGTTACTACTTTTATTTCTGTTGCTGCTTCTGTTAATACTGTCATTTCTGATACTATTGCTGCTAATACGGTTACTGCTTCTGTTGTTACTGCCATTTCTACTATTACTGTTACTGTTGCTACTGTTATTTCAAATTTGTTAACTATCAAATTCCCTAATTATCACCAAAAAGTGTCAGTAAAGAACCTAATCAAAAAAAAATTTCCAACTCACCTTCAATGCTCCATCAACAGGCGCAGATTCAGCCGTTTTCTTCGTCGTGCAAGCCGGTCGATCCGGTTGCCTAAAGAGCCTTCCATCCTGATTGACAATACCCCGATCAACGGATCTCTTCGCCGATAATCTCAGTGCCGTACGCAAATCACCTTCAACCTCCTCCTCAACCGTGTGACTTTGCCTTAAATATTTCTCAATACTCTTGAGCGTTGAACCATCACGCTCGCCCAATTCACGTACAGCTTTACCAATAACTTTCGATAGATCAGTACTGCCTTGAACCTTAAGTGGACGTGCCTGCAGACCACCTGGGTCCTTATATGACGACTGACCCTTATTGAATATCTTTAGTACGTCACCACGTTTAACGGCCACTTCTAAATGTTCAGCGATTTCCTCCTCGTGGAAATTATGATGTTGCCGAATAGCGTGACATATCCGCTCGACACTTGGTCGCTGTTTCTGGCTACGAATCTTTCGAATCGCATCCAGAAACCATGCCGACCACGCGTCACCGGACTCCTGCTCATCCATGTGTTTATTTTTGGGATAATATTGACGAGCGTGTTTTTATTCAGCTCGTCAAATTAAACCGCCTCCCCCCACCATCCAAAGTGAGTGAGGACCTGGACATTCACATTCTGGCTGAAACCTGTAATCAGAAAAAAAGGGTATTTTAATACGATCTTTGGACCCATTACCCATTCAACCCCTCAAGGTTGTAAATGAACATTTACAACCTTGAGGATTTGATTAGGAATCCAAAATGTTTCGAAAAATTATTTTTTGATTCAAGTCCACATTTCGATGTTGTATCCAGAACGAACCGAATACAAAGAAGGGGCTAAAACCTAGATTTTTGATTTACTTCGATAATTTTTTAATTAACTTGTAACTTCGTTTGTTTTTTACAACTTGGATAATTTTGTTCTCATTTCGGACTATTTAGAACCAACAAAGACCCAAAAATTTTTGCTACTAATTGAAGATCTGTTTCAGTACTGTTTGCAGAGTATTTACCGAATGGATTTCAGATTATTTTGGACCCATTTCGGGCACTGATTTTGAACTAACAAAAACTTTCGAACAACCAAATGTTTAGTCGATAAATTGCAGATTATTCGCCAACAAATTTCGAACTATTCTAGGTTTATTTCGACTTTAGATTCGGATCCAACTGAATACTGTTTTTTGGAGAACTACACAACAGATGTTTTACAAACTGTTTTTGAACAACTTTGGGTCAAATTTCTGATTATTTGGAACTAACGAAAATCCAAAACATTTGGTACTAATTGTAGATTACTTAGAGTAGTGATTGCAGATCATTTACTTGTGGATTTCGGATTATTTTTGACTCATTTCAGAGGCAGATTTTGAACCAAAAAAAACTTTTGAAGAACCAAATGTTTTGCCGACTAATTGCAGATTTTTCGACAACAAATTTCGTATTATTTTACAATCACAACGACATTAGATTTGGATCAAACCGATTATTAATTTTTTGAGAACAACACTGCAGATGTTTCAGAAACATTTTTTGCTAATTATTTACTGCAACGTTCAGATTATTTAGAACCAACAAAACCTAAAAATTTAGGGTATCAATTGCAGATTATTTGCGGTATTCAAGAGCTATTTCCCCATCAATTCTTGAACACCAAAACGATAAACGATTTTTGAAAACCGAAAAGTCTGGATTCGATGGATTCTAAATCGAATTGCTAGGAAGGAATAATATTTCCTCTTGAATACCAAAAAAACTCTCCAATCTTTCTCTCGAACGAAAATTCACTCGCCCCTAAAAATACAATGTAAAAATAAAGCCTTCCCCTCAACTTTTTTTTTCTTTATATAAGAATGTTAAACGTCTACTAAAATGGGTTGTTACTTCCTGCGTTCAGAAAGAAAGGAAAGCAAAGCAGAAAAAAGTCAGGAACGTGACTCGTTGTGTCGTATTTCGTCTCGAAGCAGGCAAGAGGGGTTTGAAATTCCTGCTTCCTGACCTTCCAGGACCCCCCATAGTGGTTAAGGAACGATCCCCCATAAAACCGTGACCCTCTCCACCACCTCCCTCTCTCTTTCTCTCTCTCTCTCTCTCTCTTTGCTCCTCTAGGGTCATTATATTACCGAGAATTAGTTTTAAATCGTGTTCCCTATTACAGCCGACAAATCGTGTGTACACGATTGTAACGACTATTAATCATTCGTCTCGGTCGCCAATATTCCGATATTATCGCTCATCTACACGGTAAACTTTAATATCTACTAATTTCATCAGTTTTCTTTTTTTTTGTAAATTAAAAATTATTGTAAATTTCTCCATTCTCCTTTCATTCTTTTCTAAAAGGGGGGAAATTTACTGTTTTGAAAAAGTTTTTTAAGCCGATTATTATGCGGTTATTATGTCATTAAACGCTAAGCGATTTTCGACCTTACGGCAAATGCGTCTTTTTCGATTTTTACTTTGGACAGTACAACAATCATAGTAACAATAAAATACGTAATAATTATTTTTAAAAAAACAGACCAGAAAGCAATCGTTCTCAGGAAACCCAAAGAGGGAAATTTACGATTGAACAAAATTTCAATAATTTTTCGTATTTCGCTTGAAATTTGACCTAAATTTCAACGCAATTTATAATAAAATGATCTGTAGGTAAAAAAGTCTAATTTGACCTAAATGTTAACGTAACATAACGGCCCCTAGGGGGACGTTACCTTGAATGACCTCTAGGTCAAATTTGATCTAAATTTCAACGTAACGTAAAAGAAAATAACTTTTCGGGGAAAAATAGGTTTAATTTGATCTAAATTTTGACGTAACGTAACGGCCCCTAGGGGGACGTTACCTTCAATGACTTTCGACATTTCGGTTAAAAAAAAGGTCAAATTTGACGTAAATTTCAACGTAACGTAAAAGCAAATGAATTTTAGGTGAAAAATAGGTTTAATTTGATCTAAATTGTAATGTAACATAACGTCCCCTAGGGGGACGTTACCTTTAATGACTTTTGACTTGCAGGTTAAAAAACAGGTCAAATTTGACGTAAATTACAACGTAACGTCAAATCAAAAGAATTTTAGGTGAAAAATAGGTTTAATTTGATCTAAATTGTGACGTAACGTAACGGCCCCTAAGGGAAAAGTTATTTTTAATGCCTTTTGACTTGTCGGTCAAAAATAGGTCAAATTTGACGTTAATTTCAATGTAACGTAAAAGCAAATGATCTGTGGGTAAAAAAGGTCTAATTTGACCTAAATTTTCGACGTAACGTAACGGCCCCCAGGGGGGCTTTGAAATCAAATAATAAAAACTGTTTTATTTTTTACGTAACTAAACCGTAACTTTTGAGAGTATATTAACAATAGGAGAATAAGAAAAATAATTAAATAAAAAGTATAAAAATACTATAAAAAGTATAAATATAATATAAAAATGTAAAAATACTGTTAAAATATATAAAAAATACTATAAAAATATGAAAATACTATGAAAATGTAAAAATACTGTTAAAATATATAAAAAAATAAAATAAAAAATACTATAAAAATATAAAAAATACTATAAAAATATTATAAATACTACAAAAATATAAAGATACTAAAAAATATAATTTTTTTTCCAAAAAGAAAAAAGGAAAAAAAATATATTTTTGTCAAAAATGAAAAAGTAAAAAAGGCAATAATCAAAAACGGAATGTCGAGTGTAAATAACTTGCCGTGTTCCGACTAAATTGTTGACCTAGGTTTTCGGTTATTCAGGACGTGGGGTAATAAATAACCTCTAGTCGGTAATAAATATTCCGCTCTCAGGGAGTTTCACACGTAAGGCATTTTGTTAAAGACTAAAAAATCGAGGAGGAGGTTAGAGCAGTAGTACCCTTCTCTCACTCAAAAAGGCGGAAGTTTATATACCCCGATTTCCAAAGAAGCCAAAAAAGTAAAAAAAAAAAAAAAAAAAACAGGGAAGTTTCCTACTTCTAATTCCGGGGTCGACTTTTTTCTCCTCTCTATATGTATGTATAAACTCCCATCTTAAATTTATTAAGTCAGAACCCTAAATACTTTTTTTTTCTTTTTCTGCTTTCCACGCCTTCTAAATTCGACCCTAAATGTGTTCAGTCTGCTGTATATATAAATTCCACTCTAATTCGAGCTATTTAAATCCCCCCCCCCTCTCTTTCCGCAATCTCTTCTTAAAAAAAACCAGTCGACATTTCTGCGCATGCGCGTATTTTAAGAGCCACGTGCTTCCATTCCCGCCAAAAATCTAACCTAAGTGGAAAAAATTCTTTCTACTTAATATTTAAATTTAAAAAAAAAACCTATTCAATTTTCTGCTTCCTGAATTTTTTGTTCGAAGTCTAGACGTTAAACGTTAATAACGTCTGTAGGTCTATAAACGTTAATCATCGTCTATAGACTATTATTGTATCACTATAACAAGAAAATAAAATTTTAAAACTATTAACGACTTATTTGAATCCTAGTGATACACCGATTTCGACACTTTTAGTTTAAATGCTTTAGCTTACAAACGCTTATATTACTTCACGCATCATAGTCCTGCGACCATAATTAAATTTTGTTTAATTTCTTAATTCTTTTATCATTTTTTTTTTGTTTTCTTTTGTTTCTCATCACTTCGCTTGCTTTTTATTTGATTAATTACACACATTTTTCTTTTATTTTATACTATTTTTTTTGTATTATTATTATTCGCAAACATGTATTGCATTAATTTGTAGTGCCTATAATGGTTTACCTTTGGCATCGCCTTTGGCTGTATTTTTTGGTTCAAATTAAAAAAAATAGAAAATTTTTTTTTAAAGAGGGGGAAGAAAATTAAGTTTTTTTTTAAATTCTCGGCGGCCTTTTTTATATATTCGTTATGTATATATATTATTTTCTCGGAAATTGATAAATGTATCATCATTCACGCACGTTTTCAAGGTTACGCTCTTTGGTAATATACATCCGCCGAAAATAGATTCGAATCATTCTTAAAATTTGTTACGTTCAAGAATCTTTTTTTCTTTCTTTCAATATGTAACGGAAAATAGTGAAGAAGAACATTATAATAGTACTATTAATATTATTAATATTATTATTATCAGTTTTATTATTATCAATTATTTTCACTCGTTAAAATTAGTTATTGTGACTAAAGAAAATGATTTTTATTGATAAAATAATAAACTATTGTTTCAATCAATGATACTTTACAATAATTTATATTGATGAAAGTAATAATTTTCATTTCTTAAAATCCGTTATTTTTTATCGAATTTAAGAAAATATTTTATTTGACAAGAAGTTTGGTTGATTTTATGTCCATTGATTGACAACAACATAAAATTAATAGTAAATTTCGTCTGTTTGTTATAAAATGTAGTTTAAAAAGAACATCGAATGCATTCAAAATATTTGCATCTTTTGACAAAAGATATTTTATGTCCATCGACAACAACTTTACAATTAAAAAGTAGATTTTGACTAATTCGAATAGTACGGATTCGTTCACTGTTAATTAGTCAAAGTTAACTAATTGAATTGGTAATATAGAGGCAATTAAATAAATTAGTAACTTATATTGAATGAATCAATGAGTTTCTAATTAAATATGACAATAATAGAATATTGTTCTTTACAAATTAAAAAGTTATTTGAAATGTGACACGTTATAAAATGCTAAAATTATTTTTAACATAAAATCAAAATTTATTTAGCAAATAAAATCTAAGAATACAAAAATATGTTATCTTTAAGAAAAATACTTTAACTAATTTAATTAATAATATAATTTTGTTGATTGAATCAGAAATAAAGACAAAAAACTGTTTTAACAAAAAGCGGTCGCTTTTCGTTAAAAACCACGTTTTGTCTTTATTATTATTTGCTTTTTGTTAAAAACCGTTTTTCGGCAATTTTTATTATTATAATTATTATTACTTTGATTAAAATTGTTATTATTATTAAAGTAGAATACAAAATATATGGTATATTCGTTTTAAGTATATAGACGTAGTTTTTTTGAGGCCTTGCAGGTAATTAAGTCGGTACATATGCCCGTATCATATTAGGTGAAATAAAATACCGGTTGTCCGGTAAAACATGCGGCCGGGTGTTTGCCCCTCTCACACACAAGTTATAAAGTGAAAAAAAGGCAACTGCAGCTGCGACTTTTAGTTTCCTATATATATATAAGTATATAAGTTTACCAATAAACTGACATGTATGATTAAATAAACCCCCCCCCCTCCCCTCTTTACAACCCCTTCCACACTACCACTTGACTTAATTCTACTAAATACATTTTAAACCTCTGACTAAAATTTTCTTCTTGTTTAAAATTTAAATAAAAAATAATATGATTTAATAATTACCCCCCCCCCCCCATACTACTTGACTAAATTCTACACTATTTTAACTTTAAAAAAAATTTATTTATTTAAAATTTAAATTAAAATGAACCAATAAGAATAAGATTAAATAACCCCCCACCCCCCTCTATCCCTACCCTACCACTACTTGACTAATTCTACTAAATTGTTAAACACTAAGAACATTTTTTTTTGTTTCAATTTTAAATAAAAAGTAACTAATGACAATAATTTGATTAAATACCCTCCCCCCTTACTATTTGACTTCATGCTACTAAATTTTTAACCTTAAAATTTTTTTTTTTTAAATTTAAGTAAAAAAAATAATTCATAACAATAGCAATGTAGTAATAACAATAATAACAATAATAAAGAACCGATAACAATAATAATAAAAATAACCGATAACAATAGTAATAATAATAATAAGAATAATAATAGAAATGATAAAAATACTAATAATAAAAAATAATTTTCTGTTATTAGGGGAGAGTCTCCAGTTGTGAGACACCTCCAGTTGTGAGACAGTCAATTTTTTTTAACAAGCAATATTAAAAAGCCGATTGGTTTATATAAAAACATTTCTTTTTATATGAGCCAACTTTTTCGTGTACGCCGAAGCGGATATATAAACTGTTTTTGTTAAATACCAACACTGTGTGTGATAATCGACTAAAAAGCGTTTTTTCAATAAATGCAAAGTACTTTTTTTCCAAGTTAATTAATTGGAAAAGGTAAATGTAATGCATTTTCTTTTAGTGTTTTCCTTATATTTTGTGATGCAATATTGCATTGTTCCAATCTACGGTTGAAAATAATTTAATTTTCCTTTTTCAAAATAGCGTCAATTTCTGGGTGTGAGACACAGCATATCACCAGTTGTGAGACGGTGTCAACACCCATCTGGGCAGCATAAAAAATACGACTTTGCAGGCATACTATTTAAATGTTGTTTTCATTTTTTTTCTAGTATTTTTGGGCATGTCAAGTGGAAAAAAGTCAATCGATTCAGAAGAAATCAATTTTAAGGCTCTTGTTGAAGCTATTAAATTGTGTTTATTTGATAGTCATATTTTGGCGAATAAATATTATTATTTAGTATATAATAATATATATTATTAATATATTTAATTATTTCTACTAAACATAACGTTTTATGTCAAACTTATTAAATTTTAGCAATTTTTAATGAGTGTCTCACAACTGGAGACATTTTTTTTTTTTGAAAAAAGCGATGTGCTCGGAAAATGTATCGTAAAATTTTTTGAGTTCATCGAAACACTATACTTTCTTTTAATAAAAGTTGCGTATTTCTGTTACCTTTCGAACGGTGTATTTTATTTACAATTTCGTTTACTCGTTTACAATTTACGGGTCAAAAATGAAACCCGTCTCACAACTGGAGACTCTCCCCTATAATTTTAAACAAAAAATTATTTTTCTATTTTCTATAAAAAAAAAGAATAATATTAACTATAGGAAAAACAGTAAAAATAATAATAGAAACTAAAGTAGTAACCTAGCAGAGAAAAATTTGAATTTAAACTAAATATAATTTTACTTGAGTTAAATATAAAAATATATTTTGTCTCAGAGAGGTTACAAAAATTATTTATTTTGTTTTCAATAATCATTTTATTCAAGAAAAATAAAACTTTTATTTGTTTATCAAATAAAACTTATTTTGAAATAAATAAAATTTTATAATTGAATCATATAAAACTTTATTTTGAATCAATTAAAATTTTATTTGAATAAATTAAAATTTTATTTAAATCAATTAAATTTTTATTTTTATACAAATAAAAACTTTATTTCAATCAATTAAAAACTTATTTGAAAGGAATTAAAAAAAAAAAATTTATAATAGTCTCTGAGTCAATCATATCTTTTATCTGAAAGCAATAATAATAATAGTAATAAAAATAATACTAACTACTTTTATTAAACTTACAACTCCCACTAATAGAAAAACTGTTTAGTTGAATTAAAAAATAATTTGAAAACTATTGTGAAAATACTCTAAATATCCTAAAAAAAATTTAATTTTTAAAATTTTTTTTTTTTTTTTTTTTTTTTTTTTAATTTTTAATTTTTAATTTTTTTATTTCAATTTTTCTAATATCCTCTAAATAAAATTAAATCAAGATTTTTGTTTATTATTTTACTTTCGAATCAGATATTCTTTAAATCAAATTTATTTAATTTTAAAGAACAAATAAAAAAAAAAAAATTTAGTCTGAATTAGTATAAAAAATTTTTTTGATTAAAACTTAATTTGGTTAGTTCGGTTTAACTTTTAATAACAATTAGTTAAGAATTTAAAATAGTTTTTCAATTTTTAATAATTACAAATATTTGATTAAATCAATGAAATATTTAGACAATTTTGCCAAATATTTTTGAATAAATTTGTCCCTTTTTTTTTATAAAATTAACTAAATATTTGGTTTAATTTGCCAAATATTTGATGTAGAATTAACCAAACATTTGATAAAACTTTCCAAACATTTGATTAAATTAGATAAACATTTTGGTGAATTAACCAAATATTTAGTTAAATTAGCTAAGTATTCGACGAAATTAACCAATTTTTTATTTAATTAGCCAAACATTTGATTAAATTAGCCAAACCATTTTGGTTACATTCAACAAATAATTGAATTAGTCAAACATTATGTCTGAATTAACCAAATATTTAGATAAATTAGCCAAATACTTGACCAAATTAAACAAATATTACACAGAATTAGCCAAATATTAGGTTAAATTAGCCGAACTTTCTTTTCACTGAATTAACTAAATATTTTGTTAAATTAGCCAAACATTTGATTAAATTAGTCAAACACTTTTGGTTACATTAACAAATATTTGAATTAGCCAAACATGATGACTGAATTAATTAAATATTTAGATACTTAATATTTGACCAAATTAAACAAACATTTAGTTAAATTAGCCAATTATTTGATGAAATTAACTAAATATGTAATAGAATCTACCAAATATTTTTGGTATCATGCAACAAATATTTGATGGAATTAACCAAATATTTGATTAAATTAGTCAAACATTTGATTAAACTAACCAAACATTTATTTAAATTGGACAAAATATTTGAATTATCCAAACATTTTGACTGAATTAACCAAATGTTTAGGTAAATTAGCCAAATATTTAGTTAAGTTAGCCAAATATTTGACAAAATAGAAACCAAATTTGACCAAATTAAACTAATATTTGACTGAATTAGCCAAATATTTGCCAAAATTAAACAAACATTTGACCGAATTAGCCAAATATTTGCTAAAATTAAACAAATATTTGACCAAATTAATAAAATATTAGAAAAAATTTGCCAAAGTTGTTAACAAAATTAACCAAATATTTACTGTTGAATCAAATATTAAGTCAAATATTTCTGCCAAATTCAATTTAACCAAATATATTTCACAAACTTAACCAAATATATTGAACTTGAATTAAACAAATTATTTTCTAATTCAACTAAAAAACATCACTTTCCTCCCCCCTCCTCCCTATCTATCTAATCCCTTCCCCTCTTTAGGAAAACTATTCAATTCATTCAAGATTTAAAGAGACAATGTTTCTTTTTCGTACTTTACGTTTAAACTTCTCGTCTTCTTTCAGTTATAGTAATTTCTCCTTAATTTTACATATTGCATTTTTCTTTTTCTTTAGCTTCCACCTTTTTTTTTGTCGTATTTTCCTTATTGTAGTTTCACTTCTGTCGTTTTCTTTTTTTTTTTCCTTTTGCAGTTTCCACTAAAGTTGGAATATTTTTTTCACAAACACAACTTTATTTTTTGGTTCATTTTCAGTAAGTTATGCATCAACTTTATTTTTTTCTGTAACACTGTCGAATACTTTCACAAAAAAAAAAAAGACACGTTTAGACAAATAGGAAAAAAAAACGAAATTTTCACTACTTTTGGTGATGGATTTTTTTTTAGCGAAGAGAAAAAAAACCGAGAGAGAGAGAGAGAGAGAGAGAGAGAGAGAGAGAGAGGAAAAAATTTAGTTTGAGAGGAACCGACGGAAAATTGTGACCCGTCGGAATTGAGAGAATAAATTTTCGTCGCTCAACAGAATCCCGCCAAACGTGAGATGACTAAGAGAGAGAACGTTTTTGGTAGAGGAAAAGATTTCTTCACCAAACCGAACGATGAAAATATATAAAGAAAGAAAGGAGGAGAAAAAAAGACGTTGAGCCGTTAGTGGCAATAATTACGGCCAATGCTCGGTTGCGAACTCAACATTCTCGAAGCCCGACGGGCAGCCATTTTGTAGGTCCGTGGCAATCCCAGTTTCGCCTGGTTGTGCGAATTTCCGCATCAACTTTCATCACCACATTGCCAATAAATTTTTTCCCCCCATGAAAATTAAATTGAAAAAAATAGGTCTAAATTTTAGAAAAAAACAAAAAATACATTTCCCGCCAAAAAAAAAGGAAAAAAAAGAAGGAACAGAAGGGGATTTTTTCCGGGAAACAAATCAGACAATTATTAACAATAATTACCTGACACTGTCCAAGGGGGAAAAAAATTGAAAATCGGGGACACAAGCAACACAAGTTTTGACGATTGGAAAACACACAGACACAGAGAGTGAGGGAGAGACACATACACAGAGAGAAGGCGGCTGCAAGAGAGCCGCGCGCGCTCTCTCTCTCTCTCTCCCTTATGGCTTTTGGACAATGAAAAAAATTGCGATAACTATTTTTTTTCTCTCTCGAAAATAAAACACTTTGTACACCACACACTTTGTAATTACCTGTCAGCACAATTCCATGTGTAATCCTGAATTGAATGGCACACAAGATGTACACTTGGGCACTTTATCACGAACACCGATTATCTTCGCGGAACGGCGTCACATTTCACAAATCAACAAAGGTTACCACTTGACAAAGATGGCCGACTGCTACTGCGCACCCGGTGGGGAGCGCACTGCGCCGACCGTCGTCGCAAACACCCGAGAGCAGAGGGACCCTCTCTCTCACTCTGGTTACTCGTTTTCCCGTGTGCCGTGTGTATTTTATATATGGGCAATTCCACGTGAAATTTTAATCGACCTCTTAAAATCGTCCAAAAATATTTTTTTTCTATTCTGTATCGCAAAAAAGCAGATACGTATTTTTTTATTTTTGTTTAATTGTCAAAATTTTCGAGTTATGAATTTTCGAAATTTTCATGTTTTTAAAATTTATTTATACCTTTTATAATATAGAGAAGATTTTTCAAAAAGGAAAAGTTAAAAAAGTTAAAAAAAACTAATTTGTTTATAAAAAAAAATTTTTTTTTAAATAAAAAATTAAAATTTTTTTTTATTTTCATTTCTTAAAAGTTGAAAGAAAACTAAAACTTTCATTCTGTGACAACTTTTTCCTAAACTCAATATTTTCGGACTTATCAGCTACTGAATATAGGTCTACAATTATTAAAAGTCGAAAATTTCGAAAATTCATAACTCGAAAATTTGGACAATTAAACAAAAATAAAAAAAATACGTATCTGCTTTTTTGCGATACAGAATAGAAAAAAAATATTTTTGGACGATTTTAAGAGGTCGATGAAAATCTCACGTGGAATGACCCATATATTGAAAACTGAAAAAAAAAGAGACAGAGAGAGAAACCCAGGTGCATTAATGTGTGCGTGCGAGAGCCGACTTGTCAGGACTCGACTCGTGGAGAGAGAGAGAGAATATTGTACTCAAACTTTTTTAAAATACACAAACATCAACTAAACTCTTGTTATGTATATATAAGAGAGTATGTACTCGATCGGCTCCGGGATTAAATAGAGAAGCAAAGCCGGAGTGCCGGACGCACCACACGATCGCTCCACTGAACATTCAAGCAGGAAGGTGACGGGAAACCGACGAGAGAGAGAAAGAGAGAAAATGGAATATTTAGCAAAATAAAAGAATTTTTTTTGCCTCCATAACCTCTTTTTTTCGAGTATTATTTTTCGATATAAGTCCCTCAAACTTTTCGACATTCTCCATTTTGTAAATACCTGTAAACACCTGTAAATGTATTATACCTTAGCTTGATATTTTTTACAGTGTAACTGTAAGTACAGTGGAAAGTATAACGTTCGGAAAAGAGGTTATGGAAGCGTAGTGTTTTTTTTTATCAATTATCGAATTGAATAGTTTTATAACCTAACTATTGAATTCTAAAGGAAACGAAGTGGATAAATTTTCTTTAATATATGGAAAATATATTTTAAAGATACCTCAACATCGAACTTGTAAAATGCAAAGATCTTTTATAGTAAGAGGCGCAAGACTGGAATAAACTTCCAAAAATAATATTCTCAGACATCGCGCACTCGATAATTAATTTAAAAAAAAGTAGATTTCAAACTAAAAACAGCAGCTATCGAAAAATTAAACTTGACAACCAAAAAAACTCGTTATTTAGAAACTTTACAAAACTGACAAAAATTCCATTCTATATTTTATTCTCCTGACTTTTTCCTATAATTTTCATCAAAAATGTTTACCTTCTTTCTTATCCTACTGCTTTAAATTCAATTTCTGCCCAAAGAATTTTATTATTCATCAAAGAATTTCAATATTTTGAAAAATAATTTGTAATTCTTGCGAAGAATTTTATTAAAATTTTTAAATAATTCATTTATTTGGATTAATTTTATGCAAATTCTAATTTAAATAATTTAATTCCTGTGAAATTTTTATCATTCATGAAAAAAATTAAATTCGTACGAAGATTTTTACAAAAAATTTTTAAAATAAATTGATTACTTTCGACTAATTTTATGCAAATTCGAATTTAAATAATTGAATTCCTGAAAAATTTTTAATATTAAGGAAAAAAAATTGAATTCGTACGAAGATTTAAAAAAAAAAATTTTTAAATAATTGAATTCTGTTTGGAAATTTTATGAAAATAGTAGATATTGAAAATCGTTGGATTGTGAAAAGTTTTTAAAAATAATTAAATTTTACAAAGAATTCTATTCACATATAATTGACAATAATTGAATGTCTGTGGTAGTTCATTCAATTTTTTTGAAAATAATTGAATTCCTCAAAAGCGTTTTAATATTTATGAAAAGAATAATTGAATTCTTTGGAACGATTTTATTATAATTTTTTAAAATAATTGAATTTTCAAGAAGAAATTTATTACTTTTAAAAATAATTGAATTCTTGTGATGAATATTGTTATTTATGAAAATAATTGAATTTTGCAAAGAATTTTATTAATAATAATTAATAATTAAATTTTCGGGAATAATTTTGTTATTTTTGAAAATAATTGAATTCTTGGAAAGAATTTTATTAAAATCTAAAATAATAATTGACATATTTTAAAAAAATTAAAAATTAAAATTATTGTATTCAAAATAATTGACTTCTTTCGAACAATTTTATTAAAATATTTGAAAATAATTGAATTCCTGTGGAAAATTCTAATATTTTTGTAAATAATTGAATTCTTCCAAAGAATTTAAAAAAAACCATTTTTTAAAATAATTGATTTTTTCGAGAAATTGAAATTAAATTTTTAAGAATAATTACATTTTTCGTGCAATACATAAAAAAATTGTATTAAAAATAATTGAAATTCTGCGATTAATTTTATTATTTATGCAAAAATAATTGAATAGTTGCTAAGAATTTTAATAAAATATTCTAAAAAAATTGAATTTCTGTGAAAAATTTTGTTATTGTTGAAAATAATTGAACTCTCCATAAGAATTTTATAAACATTGTTGTAAATAATTAATTTTTTCGAAATATAATAAATATTATAAAAGTTTTATTTTAAATTATTGAATTCTTGTGGAAAACTTTATTTGTGAAAATAATTTTCCAAGAATTCAATTATTTAAAAAAAAATTGACATACTTTTTTTCAAAAAAAGTCTATTATTAAAAAATTTTTTTTTTTATAAAATTCTTCGCAATAATTCAATTATTTTCATGAATTTTAATAAAATACTTCGCAAAATTCAATTATTTTCAATATCTATTATTTTAACAAAAATTTCCCAAAAAAATTCAATTATTAAAAAAAAATATTAATAAAATTCTTTGCAAAAATTAAAATATTTTCATAAATAAATAAAATTTTCAGAGTAATTCAATTACTTGAAATAAAATTTAATTTAATTTAATTACATATTTTCAAAATTCTTAATAAAAAATTGTTCAAGTAAATTTAATTATTTAATAGAAAATTTAATAAAGATCCTTGCAATTCAATTATTTATAAAATGAAAATAACATTCGATGCAATAATTCAATTATTTTCATAAATAATAAAATTCTTTTTAGAAATTCAATTATTTTCAAAATTCATAGAATTCTTCGCAGAAATTCAAATATTTTCCAAAATGTTTAAAAAAAATTCTTGTGACGAATTCAATTATCTTTATAAATATAGCAAAATTCTGTCACCAAATTTCAATTTGAATTATTTGCAAAAATTTTAATAAAATTCTTCTTCGGAATTCAATTATTTTCTAAAATTTTCCAAAAGAATTCAATTAATTGAAAAATAATAATAAAATTCATTTAAGAAATTCAATTATTTTTAATAAAATTTTAATCGAATTCGTCGAAAAATGTAATTGTTCTTAAAAATGTTATTAAAATTTATGGAAAGATTTCAATTATTCAATTATTTTTTTATTACTTAAAAAATTGTTGATAAAATTCTTTATGAGAATTGAATTTTAAGAAACATTCAATTATTCAATAAATTATTTTTTTTGCATATAAATAATTGAATTCTCTTAGAATTTTTAGTTAAAAATCTTCTATTTTATCTTTTCTATCCAGAAAATATTAATTGACTTAAAAATATTTTTACATTATTTCTGAGTCTTTAAACTTAGAAATCGTTTCAAATTAATTTAGAAACTCTGTCTGAATCAAAAGCGCAAATTTCTCTATAGTCACTAATTTTTTTTAAAATCCTTTCTCTCTAACCTTTTTAATCCTTTTTTAGTAGTATAACCTTAATAAATTTAACTTACCTCAAAAATTAGCCAAAAACTTCAATGTTTCTAGCAATGAATGAAGTGAATGAAGTGAACGAAGTGAATTAAGTGAGTGAAGCGAATAAAGTGAATGAAGCGAACGAAGTAACTTCATTCAGATGAATTGATTATGAATCTTTCATTTAAAGTTCATCTGGGTTTACGAAAATAATTATTTTCCTCTCTCGACATCAACTCCTTCTCTTCCTTGACTCTCCTAAAAAAAAACAAACAAAAAAAAAGAAAATTTTCAAAAATTAGAAATTTTGTAAAATAGAAAGTAAAATTTGAGGGTGACGCTAATTAAACTGCCGCTCCTGTTAAAGTCACTGGACGCCTTTTTAATATGCGCTTTTCCCACCGGAGTTTATTGATTTAAAAAAAACCAACAATAACAAAAAACATACTCTTGTTAGAATTCAACAACGATTTGTTCCATTCCATCAAATTCTCTCCAATTTTTCGTATCTTGCAATCATTTCCAATTTTCATTCTTCATTAACTTCATGAATTTCTCCGCATTCATTCACTTATTAACCATTTTTTCTCGACTTCAAAGGAAATTTCAATTTAATTTCAATTCGATTTCAATTTCCTATTTTTTTTTTTAGTGCGAGGGCAAAATGAAATTTTTCTTGATTGCAAAAAATGAAAATAATATATTTTTCTTCCTTCGTTCTCTGGTAACTTTATTTTTTTATTCTTCTTCAATTTGACGAATTTCTCTTATGACTCTCGCAATAAAACACTGAAAACAAAAATAAAAAATTGTCCGTTTTCTTTAAAAGTAAAAAAATGTTTTTGGTGATGTTTTTCTTAGCACTTGAATTCTGTAAATCACAATTATCTCTTTTTTTTTTTTTTTGAAAATATTCACACATTTTTAGGGGGTAAAATCCGGTCGTCCCTCGTACGTGCAACCAGATCGTTGTATAATTTCCGAAGCTGCCCAAATTCCACACTTTATGCAAGTTTCTAAACTTTGGTCCTGAATGTACTGCGCCAAGAAGCCTAAAAAAACAAAGAATAATTTTAAAATCAAATAATGTATAAACAATTGGAAAAAGAAAATTAATAAAATGTAAACAATTTTCAAAAAAGGTTAAATAATCAGGTCTCGGATTTACTTTAAGACCAAAAAAAAAAAAAAAAAAAAATTCGCTTTATTCAAATTTATTCAAAATAATTGAATCTCTGAAAAAAAATTAATTGAATTGAGAAAAGTTTTTAAAAATAATTGAAATTTTGTCAAGAATTTTATTAAATTTTTTTTAAATAATTGAAATATTGCCAAGAATTTTATTAAAATTTTTGAAAATAATTGAATTTTAGAGAAAAATTTTAATATTTATAAAGATAATTGAAATTTTGACGATAAATTTTTTTAAACTTTTGACCATAATTGAATTTCTGCGAAGAATTTTAGTACTTTTGAAAATAATTAAATTTCATTGATGAATTTGAATAAAATTTTTAAGAATATTTTTCGAAAAATCCCATTAAAGTTGTATTAAAAATAATTGAAATTTTGCGATGAGTTTTATTATTTATAAAAATAATTGTAAATCTATAAATTTTAGATTTTTTACTAAAAATTGGAGACTTTTAAATAAGTAAAGTATTTTTAAAGAGCCCAAAAATATTGAAGCTAAATGCCATAAAAAAGAAGAAGAAATGTTGAATTTTAAGAAATTCTGTTTTTCGAATTTTTGAATAATTTTTGATTTTTTGCTAAAGGGTGAAGACTTTTACATAAGTAAAGTAATTTTAAAGAACCCAAAAATATTGAAGCTAAATGCCATAAAAAAGAAGAAAAAATGTTGAATTTTAAGAAATTTGGTTTTTTGGATTTTTGATAATTTTCGATAATTTTTAATTTTTTACTAAAAATTAAAGACTTTTATATAAGTAAAGTATTTTTGAAAAGCACAAAAATATTGAAGCTAAATCCCATAAAAGAGAGGAAAAAATGTTGAATTTTAAGAAATTTGGTTTTTTGGATTTTTGATAATTTTTGATAATTTTAAATTTTTTACCAAAGAGTGGAGACTATTACATAAGTAAAGTATTTTTGAAAAGTCCAAAAATAATAAAGCTAAATGCCATAAAAAAGAAGAATAAATGTTGAATTTTAAGAAATTCGGTTTTTTGGATTTTTGATAATTTTTGATAATTTTAGATTTTTTACGAAAGGTTGGATATTTTTAAATAATTAAAGTATCTTTGAACAGCCCAAAAATATTGAAGCTAAATGTCATAAAAGAGAAGAAAAAGTGTTGAATTTTTAGAAATTCGGTTTTTCGAATTTTTGATAATTTTTGAAAATTTTTGATTTTTTACCAAAGGGTGGAGACTATTCAAATAGTAATATTTCCCTACCGAAATAGCTAATGGTAACTAATTATTATTTTTTTCCGATAAAATTAAATTCCCGGCTATTTCCTGATTTTCTAGATTGGTAGAAACACTGTTAAATGTATTGGTAGAAACTAAAACCTGTCGAAGACGGTAACGACAGCTAGTCTAAAATATTAAGTAAAATTCTTTTTTGAATCAAATTTTTATTAGAAAATTCTTCGAGAATTAAATTATTTAAGTACAAAAAAAAATTAATTAACTAACAAATTAATTGATTAATTATTAACATTGAATTTTTATAAAGAATTTTATAAAAAATTTTGAAAATAATTAATTTTTTTCGAAAAATTTTTATAAAATATTTAAAAATTTTTGAATGTTTTTGAGAAATTTAGTTAAAAATTTATTAAGTAGAATTGAAATCATAAGAAGAACTTTATTATTTATGAAAATAATTGAATTTGCCAAAGAATTTTATTATTTTTAAAAATAATTGAATTATTGCGAAGAATTTTCAAAAAAAATTTAAAGTATGTAATTGAATTTTTGCCTATTACTTTTTTTAAACTGTAAAAATAATTGAATTTCTGTTTACAATTTTATTTATTTACAAAATCATTTAATTACTGCAGAAAATAATTGAATTCTTCCTAAGAATTTTATTAAAATAATTAAATTTTTACTTATAATTTTATTATTTTTAAAAATAATGCAGTTCTTGAAGAAAATAATTAAAGTCTTGCTAAGAATTTTATTAAAATTACAGAATTCTTGTGATGATTTTTATTATTTTTAAAAAACAATTCAACAACTGCCAAGAAATTTATTAAAATTTTTGAAAATAATTGAATTGTTTACAAAAACTTTATTAAAATTGTTCATAAAATAATTGAATTTTTTAGAAAAATTTTAAATAAAAAATATTTTGAAAATATTTTGAATTTCCACCAAGTATTATCTTCAAAAAAAATAAATAAAAATTTTAATAAAATATTTTGAAAAAGCATTTCTTAGATTATTTTTATTATAATAATTTTTTAAATATTTTCAATTACATTATTTTGAAAAATTCAATTGTCTTATAAAAAAAAAATAATTGAATTTTTGTATTCAAAGAATTGAAAATTTCTTAAGGAATTTTCGGAAAATTTTACAAAATTTTGAAAATAATTGATTTCGAGAAAATTTTTAGTTAAAAATTCTAGCAAATAATTTAATTTTGGAAAGAATTTTTAGTTCGAATTTCGAGAAAATAATTGAATTTTTGGGGAGATATTCAAAATAATAAATAATTGAATTCCCGAAGAACCTTCGGAAATTTTTTGAAAAGAATTGATTTCGAGAAGAATTTCAGTTAAAAATTCTAGCAAATAATTTAATTTTCGAAAGATTTCGGTTGCAATTATAATAAATAATTGAATTTTTTTTAAATAATTGAATTCTAGAAGAATTTTATTAAAAATTTTTGGAAATTTTATTATATTTATGAAAATAATTGAATTTTTCCTACGAATTTTTATTAAAAAATTTTTTTTTTTTAAATGATTGAAATCTTAAAATATTCAAAAAAATAGTAGTTACTGAAAAAAATTGACTTCTTGACAAAAAAATGTTCTTAAAATTAAATTTAAAATAATTGAATCGTTTCAAAGAATTTTCTTTAAAATTTTTTGAATTTTGTCTGTAAATTTTATAAAAATCTTTTGAATTTTGTCTATCAATTTTATTAAAATCTTTAGAGTCTTGTCTATGAATTTAATTAAAATTTTCGAGAATAATAATTTTTCTATTTCAAATATTTTAATAATAAAAATCTGAAGAATTAAAGTTTTTTTTAATTTTCAATTTACTTTTTTTTAAGATAATAATAATTAAATTAAAAAAAAATTACCTCCAACGAATGCATCGCCAGCACCGTTTGTATCAACAACTTTATCCTCCTCCAGCTTTGGCACTGGATATTCCGTGACATTATTGTCCTTAATCAGAAGCACCGAACCCGCGCCCTGTGTTAAAATGACAATTCGTTTTCGTTTCTTATTCATTTTCTCCCAATTGCAAATCTTCAATCCAATTTCCTTGAGATCACTCGTTCCAAGTTCATTGGCCTCGGAAAATGCCTCAGATTCGGTTTCATTACCAACGAGAATATCAACGTACGGAAGAGCCGCTAACATTTCCTTCTTGAAGAATTTACATAAAAATGGCGCACTCAAATTCATCATGAATATTTTGTTCTCCATGAATGCATGATTCGCCACTGTTTGGATTGATTCTGAGCTCACTGTCAAGAAAAATCCCTGCAAAATAACAAAACAATAATTAAAAATCAAAATAAAATTCTTTGCAAAGAAATAAATTTTTTTTATGTTTAATAAAATTCTTCTGAAGAAAATTTGTCTAAGCAATTCAGTTATTTTCAAAAATTGTAACCAAAATTTTTACATGAATTCAATTATTTTCATAAAATACATAAGTGAATTTAAATTTTTACAAGTTTCATTATTTTTAAATTTTCATAAATATTAAAGTGCTTCACAAGAAATTCTATTATTTTAAATATAATTTTGATAAAATTACAGAAAAGAATTTTATTATTTTCAAAAATTTAGATAAAATTTGTTTATTACAATTTCAATTTATTTTCAATTAATTTTCAATTGAAATTCTTAAAAGAATTTAATGATTATTTAAAATTTTAAATAGAATTCTTTCCAATAATTCAATTATTTACAAAAATTTTGTAAAATATGTTCAATTATGTGAATTTTTCGAAAAATTCCATTATTTCAAATATTTTTAATGAAATTCTTCGAAACAATTCAATTATTAAAATTTTTTTTGATAAAATTCGTTACAAAAATTCAATTATTTTCGTAAAGTATAAATAATTGAATTCTTATAGAACTTTCAAATTAGAATTTAATTATTTTTAATACAATTTTTATTTAATTCTTCGCAAGAATTCAATTATTATAAAAATTTTTTTATAAAATTCTTGATAAGAATTCAATTTTTAGAAATAATCAATTATTCCATCAATTATTTATTTTTTTGTTTAAATAATTGAATTCTCGTAGAACTTTCTAATAAGAATTTAATTATTTTTAATACAATTTTAATTAAATTCATCGAAAAGTTCAATTTTTAAAAATATTTTTGTGAAAATTCTTTGAAACAATTCAATTATTAAAAATGTTTTTTATAAAATTCGTTGCAAAAATTCAATTATTTTCATAAATAAAAAATAATTGAATACTTATAGAACTTTTTAGAATTTTAGAATTTTTTTTTAGAATTTAATTATTTTTATTGCAATTTTTTTTACACTCCTCGAAAGAATTTAAATTATTTAAAAAATTTTAATAAAATTTGTTTATTAGAATGTAAGATATTTTCATTATTAATTTTTTATTAAATTTCTTGAAAGAATTTAATAATTTTCAAAAATTTTAATGAAATTCTTCGAAACAATTCAATTATTTTCAAAATTTTTTATAAAATTTGTCGAAAAAATTGGATTATTTTTGAAAATTTTAATAAAAATTCTTTCAAACATTTCAATTATGTATTTTCAAAATTTTAATGAAATTCTTTTCAATAATTGAATTATTTTGATAATTTATAAAATTCTTCGCAAAAATAATTAAATTATCTTACTAAATTAATAATAAAATTATTTACAAAAATTTAATGTTTTTGAATAAAAATTTTTAGTTTCTTCTCAAAAATTTAATTATTTTCAAATATTTTGATAGAATTTTCACAAGATTTGAATTATTTTCATAAGTTATAAAATTCTTTGTAGGAATTTTATTATTTTGCATTCAATTTTAATAAAAAATTCAATTTTTTTTATAAATTTTAATAGAATTCGTCACAAGATTTAAATTATTTTCATAAGTTGTAAAATTCTTTGTAAAAATTCAAATATTTTTTATACAATTTTAATAAAAAAATTTGTAAAAAATTAAACTAGTTTAAAAATTCTTAATAGAGTTCTTTGCAAAAAGTTCTTGAAAGAATTGAATTATTTTAAAAAATTTTCATAAAAGCTCTTGGAAATAATTCAATTATTTTCAGAAATTTTTAATAAAATTCATCAAAAGAATTCGTTTAAGTTTTAATTCTTCGCAAAAATTCAAAAATTTTAATAGAATTCGTTACGAGATTTGAATTAATTTTATAAAATATAAAATTCTTCTTAGGAATTCAATAATTTTGCATATTTTTTTAATAAATATTCAATTATTTTGAAAATTTATAACAAAATTGTTTGCAAAAATTCTTGAAAGAATTGAATTATTTTTAAAAATTTTCATAAAAGCTCTTCGAAAAATTTAAATTATTTTCTACATTTCAATAAAATTCGTTTCCAGAAATCAATTATTTTTAAGTTATAAAATTATTCAGAAGAATTCAATTATTTTCATAAATAATAAAATTCTTTTTAGAAATTCAATTATTTTCAAAGTTAATAGAATTCTTTGCAAATATTCAATTATTTTCAAAAATCTTAATAGAATTCGTCACAAGATTTGAATTATTTTGGAAAATTTTGAACAAAATTCGTAGCAAAAATTACATTATTTTTACTTGTAACAACAATTCTTCTTGTGAATTCAATTATTTTCAATATAATTTGATAAAGTTTCTCTAATAGAATTCAAATATTTAAAAAAAAATTAATTAAATTTAAAATTTTATTAAATTCTTTGAACAAATTCAATTATTATTTATTTTACTAAATAATAAAATTTTTCTCAGGACTTCAATTACTTTGCAGTAATAAAAATTAGATTTTCCAGAATAATTTTTAAGGTACCTAACTATTTTTACATTTTTGAATGTTAAATAAAATGTCTAAATTGAATTTGGACTTTTTTTTATCTTTAAAGGATGAAAAATAGAATTTGACTAATTTTAAAAATTTTCCTTTTGACTTTTGAAATGGAAAAAACTTACAGAAACGTAGTAAAATTGAGCCTTCTCAATTAGTTTCTTGTTTTCCGGCTCGGCAATGTGCGAGGGTGAGAAGCAATTGGCGGCCGCTAAATTAGCGCACAATGAACGGTCCTTGCCGGTAATGAGGACGGCGCAAGTTCCCGTTTGCTCCTTATCTGTATACTGATATCGAACATTTAAGCCATTCTCTCGGGCACGTTCCTCCAAAATTGCTGAATACTTGTCCTTGCCCACGCAGCCCATGTAGATGCAAACGCCCGGCTTCTCCAAAAACCACTGTCAAAAATATTATTAATTAATTAATTAACTAACTAATTAATAAAAATTACTTTAGTCTAAATAATAAACACAATTTGAAGAATTTAAACATCATTAAAATAGAAACTAGAAATTCAATTTTTCATAGTTCTATAAAACATGAAGAAATCGATAACTCCGAGTCTTCGACTCGAAGTCATCGATTTCTTCATGTTTTATAATAATTAATCATAATTATTAATAAAAATAATTTATAACAATTAAAATCATTATCAATTCAATTATTATTTTTAAGAATTTTTATATCTAAAATTCTTCTTTATATCGACTATTTTTAATAATTTTCGAAAAAGTTCTTTGACAATTTTCAAATTCATTTCTTTACAATATTCAATTTTACGAAATTTCAATTATTCGTCAATTCTTTAATTAAATAAATATTAGAAAATAAAAACTAAAATAATATTTAAAAAAAATCAATTAAACATTTTCAAAAAAATTAATTATACAAAATTCAATTATTTTTTAAAATTCACGCTATATTGCTTTTAATATTCAATTATTATCTAAAATTTTAACTAAAATTCATTTTTATGAAATAAAAAACCAAATTTTTATTAGAAAATTTTACTAGAATTCAATTATTTAAATACAAATTTAAATGTAAAAATGCAAATAAATAATTTATCGAATAATTGAAAGTTTCTTAAAATTCAATTCCCATAAAAAATCGTTATCAACAAATTTTCAAATAATTCAATTCTATCAACGAATTTTAATGAAATTTTTAAGAATAATTACATTTTTCGACAAAATTCGATTAAAATTATATTAAAAATAAATAAAATAATCGAAATTCTGCATTAAATTTTATTATTTATGAAAATAATTGAATTCTTGCGAAGAATTTTATTAAAATTTTCAAAAATAATTAAATTCTTGTAAAAAATTAACAGGAATTCAATTATTTTTAAAAATTTTAATAAAATTCTTGGCATAAATTAAAAATAACAAAATTCTTAGCAGATGTTCAATTACTTTCAGAAATTTTAATATGATTTTTCGCAAGAATTAAAATGTTTTCGTAAAATAATAAAAATCTTTGCAGAGATTCAATTATTTTCAAAAGTCTTAATAAAATTCTTCGCAAGAATATTCAATTATTTTCAAAAATATCAGAATTTTAGCAGAAATTCAAACATTTTAAAAAGTTTCGATAAAACTTTTTTTTGGTAGAAATTCAATTATTTTTAAGACAATTTTAAAAAAATGTCTCGATAAAATTCAATTATTTTTAAAATTTTAATGAAATTCTTCGAAGGAATTCAATTATTATAATCTAAGATTTTAAATGAAATCTATTTTCAAATCAATGTTTATGAGAAAATTCTACCAGAATTCAACTATTAAAATACAAATGAAATACAAATAAATAATTTATTGAATAATTGAATGTTTCTTGGAATTCAATTCCCATTGAAAATTTTATCAACAAATTTTTAAATAATAAAATTCTTTGGACGAATTTTAATAAAATTTTTAAGAATTTTTTCGAGGAATTCGATTAAAATTCTATTGAAAATAATTGAATTCCTAAAAAGAATTTTATTATTTACGAAAATAATTGAATCCCCGTAAAAATTTTATTATTTATGAAAATAGTTGAATGATTGCGAAGATATTCCAAAAAAAAATTTGTTATTAATGAAATTCTTGTGAAATTTTTATTATTTTTTGAAAATAATTAAAAGTTTTTGTAGAATTTTATTAATTTTTTTTTTTTAAATAATTAAATTCTTTTGGTAAATTTTATGAAAATATTAGATATTGAACAATATTTAATTTTTGCGAAGAATATTATTACTTTTGAAAATAATTGAAATTTTGCAATGGATTTTATTAAAATTTTTGAAAATAATTGAATTTTATTACTTTAGAAAATAATTGAATTCGTATGATAAATATTGTTAGTTATGAAAATAATTGAAATTTTGTAATGAATTTTAATAAAATTTTTGAATATAATTGAATTTTGTCGAAGAATTTTGCTATTTATTTATAAAGATAATTGAAATGTTGACAATGTTTTTTTAGATTTTTTGAAAATAATTGAATTTCAGAGAAGATGCAATGAAAAATGATAAAATTGAAACTTGGAGAATAAAATAAAAAGCGCCTTTTACGAAATGACGAACGTCCGTCACTGCAAAAAGCGCTCTGTTGGAAAATTTTCGAAACCAAACAAATTGTCCCATTTCCACCAATCAACTTTACTGATTGCTCTGTGTCAAATTCAATTTTTTCCTTTTCATAAATTATTTATGATAAATAAAATACAGCACTTTATCTTTTAATAATGACCCCAGACTTATCTTCTGTAAATAGCTTCTGATGAAATTAGATCAATGCGCACATTTTGCGACAAAAAAAATTTTTTTAAAAAGAAAGAAATTTAAAAAAAGAAAGAAAATGACGAAAATTGGAAAAAGAACGAAAAAGAAAAATATAAGAAAATAAAAATTGAAAAAAACCAAGAAGAGGAAAAAAAAGAAAAGAAAGGAATTTTTTTCCTTTCCTTTCCTTTTTTTTAATTTTTTTATTAAAATGAAAAGAGAACGAAAAAGAAAAAAATTAAAAAATTAAAACAAATAATTGATAAATAAATAAATAAATAAATATATTACCTGCGCTACTCGCATTGAATTTTGAACTGCACCTCCGGCAATGAAATCGGCATTGTATTTTTCTACCAATTCATCGTAAAGAGGTTTGTGAAAATCTTCCGCGAGAATTGCATCGTTCGCTTTTAATTTGTACTTCTTTAAAAAATCCTCATCGACCGTTGCAGAAATATCAAGAAGTGGATTTCCAATTCCCAATAAAAGATCCTCCCTGAAAAAAATTATTAATTACAAAAAGGAACAAAATAAATAAAGAAAATAAAAAAAATTGCTGCAGAAAATTTATTTCTATCTTTATAACAATTTTTTTAAAATGCAAACTATTGTTCGAATAATAATAATTTAAAAAACGATAATAATTCTTTAAAATTTAAATATTCAATAATATTTAGTAAATAAAATAGTAAAATAGTGAATAATAATTATTTAACTAATAATTAATCATCATTGTTTAAATAATAACAAATAACAATTATTAAAATAGTAATAAATAATAATAATAATTTAAATATCAATAAATAATAATTAATTTAACAATGGTAAATAATAATTATTATTTAAATAGTAAACATCAATAAATTATTAAAATAGCAATAAATAATATTTTAAACAGTAATAAATAAGAATTATTTAAATATTAATAAACAATACTTTCTCTATGAAGAAGCAATAATTATTTAAAAAATAATAAATAATAATTATTTAACTAATAATAAATAATAATTATTTAAATAGTAATAAATAACAATTGTTAAAATTACAATAAATAATAATTTAAATGGCAATAAATAATAATTGTTCAAATTACAATAAATAATAATTTAAATAGCAATAAATAATAATTATTTACATTAGTAATGAATTATAATTTTTTAAAAAGTAAGTAATAAAAAAATTATTTAAATTATAATAAAAAACTATTATTTAAATAATATTAAAAAAAAACAATAAATAGCAAAATAAAAAAGAAAATTATAAAAATTACAATTTTTCATTAAAATTCGATCAAAAAATTCGTTCCCCACGTGCAAATTATTTTTGCTTGATTTTATTTCCTTATTAAATTAACATGAAATTTGATCGTAAAAATCGAATACATATTTAATTTAACATCCGTAAAATTAACAATTGCAAAAACTAATAAATTTCAAAGTTATAAATACAATTTTCTGTCATAAAAATAGAGAAAAAATTCACCGGAAAAAACATGTGCGTCCTGCAAAAATTAACATAACCTAAAAATAGTCAACAAAAATTCTTTATATTTATATACTATAGAAAAATACATAATGTTATATTTATAGAAGAATAAATTCGAAGGTCAAAAGTGAAGGGAAATTTTAATTTATAATAAGGAAGTAAAAATAAAAATTCTACGAAAAGAAAATAGTTTTTTTCTAAGTGAAAAAAAATTCAGACAGGATCAACAAGTGTTTAAAAATGGAAACGAAAAACAAAAGAATAAAGAACAGAATATAGTAGAGAGAAAAATTTATAATCATTACCTTAAATTATCAGCCATTGTCACTAATTATCCAAGTTGTCGTTACAATTTCCAGAGGTAAGAATAAACACAACGATGGGAGGAAATCTTTGAGGCAACTGATGAGATACAAATTTATTACCAACATTTTATACGTGTGTGTAAATATGAAGAAAATGAAGGTCGCAGATTGTATATTTAAATACACACACAGGACACACAGGCAAAAGGAAATTTCCAGTGAGCCAATGGCGTCAATTTGGCAGTAAATTTTTCAATTGGTGTACTAGATTAGAGTTAGAGGAAAATAAAGTATTTCCGTTTGTTATTTTCGAACAAAATTTAACTTTTAGAAAATTAGACTTGTTTTTTTGTATTTTTGTAAGTTTATTTTGAAACGACAAGTAATTTTCTGCTTAAGGCTGGAGTCCCATGGTAGCGTTTTGCGTTGCGTTTTGTAACTAGGCCATGAGTGCAAATAGAGTAAACATATATCTGTATCTCTCTCACACTCATTGCCTAGTTACAAAACGCAACGCAAAACGCTGCCATGGGACTTCAGCCTAAAGTGATTCAATTGCTTTATTTTCTATGTTCAGAGACCTAACCTTACTTTTTGCTGGAAAATCAAACCAGGGCCGTAACTAGTGAGATAGGGGCCCCTCAAGGCTGTTGTTACCTAATGGCGGGAATTTTAAATTTTAATTTGATTGGCGAATAAGATTGTAGCATTTCTGTTAGAATCGAACTAACGGAAAGTTAATTTCTAAATCTAATTTTTCAAAATTAATATTATTAACGCACTAATTTTAGTTACAGTAAATAATATTAAGTAAAAAAAAGTATAAACGTAATATTGTCTAAAAATTTTACTAAATTTCAAAAAATTTGTTTCTACAAAGATTTATAAATTCTTACCTCGGTAAATATCGAATTCCTTGAAAAACACTTTTTTTTCCTTGGTAGTGACGTAGCGTCTTAAAGAAAAAAAAGTAAAAAAATCAGTTTTTTCATGCTTTTGGAAAATTTAATTCCTCGATTAACCAAAAAATGAATAGAAATATTTTTTCCGCCGAGGAGGACAAATGACAAAAATAATTTTCCAAAAATATCAAGTTTTATGGACTTTATGCGAAAAATAAATTTCGAGGTGGGAGCAAACTGGCTCTCCTCACCTCGCAACTTTAGACACTGATTAAATCATCAAAAGTGAATCTTTTTGGCTAATTTCTTTCAAAATCGCTTCGTCTCGACTGAAGAAACTTCTGAACTGAAAATAACATTTATTGCGCCGTAAGAAAAAAGTAAAAAGCAGTTTTTTTTACCCTTTTTGAAAGGTTCGTTTCTCGATTAACCAAAAATGATAATAGAACAACTCTTGCCACTGAATAGAAAAGACAACGACAACAATTTCCCAAAAATATCAAATTTCACAGTTTTTAAGCGAAAAATAAATCTCGAGGTGGGAGCAAACTCTCACATCGCGACTTTAGACACTGATTAAATCACCAAAAATTAATCTTTTCAGCCAAATCCTTTTGAAATCGCTTCGTCTCGACTGAAGAAACTTCTGTACTGAAAATAAAATTTATTGCGCTATATGAAAAAAAGTAAAAAATAGTTTTTTGAAAATTTCGTTCGTCTAACTAAAAATCATAGTAGAACTACTCTTGCCAATGAGGAGAAAAAACAACAAGAAAAATTTCCCAAAAATATCAAAATTTACCGACTTTATGCGAAAAATAAATCTCGAGGTGGGAGCAAACTCTCACCTCGCGACTTTAGACACTGATAAAATCACTAAAAATGAATCTTTTCAGCTACTTCCTCTCGAAATCGCTTCGTCTCGACTGAAGTAACTTCTCACCTGAAAATAATTTCTTCTTCTAAAATTCTAAAGACAAACAATAGAAAGGAATCCAAGGAAACGACTCTCTTTAGGTTTAAAAGTTCCTTTATTGACCGATATATAAAGACAGACATCAAAAACACTGGAATAAAGTATATGAGTAATATATGATAGCAAAAAAAAAAAAAAAATTACCAATTTTTTTTCTTCAATGATTGACAATGATTGAGCGATCTTTGCACGAAAGCAATTACCACCAAAAAAATTTGCTGCTTTCTGCGCCGCTTTCTGCAAAGTTGACTCTACCAATGAAAATTTCCTCAACAAAAAAAAAATAAATAAATACCATTGGACTTCAGAGAGAAAAAAAAAAAAAAAAAAAAAAAAACTGGAAATCAAATGGAAAAAAAATGGAAATGAAGAGAAAATTATGGGACGCGCTTTCGCGAATCGCGATCGAGCGCGGAAACACACGAGCGACGCAGGAAGCCAGCGAAGAAGGCGCGGCCGACACTTTTTTTGCCACTAAAAGAATCAAGACAGCATTAATAATGATAATGATAATAATGTTAATGATGAAAACGATAAAGTTAATAATAAAAAACGAGAAATTAATAAAAAAAAAATAAATAAAGAAAAGAAAAAAAAAGAAAAAAAAAGAAAAAAAGAGGGAAAAAAGAGAAAAAAATGCCGAACATATAACAAAAGGAATAACAATAAAAAAACGATAAAAATATTAATAATAATGGTAGAAAAATGATAGAAATAAAAAAAAGACCTTTTTTTGGAGGATCAGGGGACTGTACATGGAACGTCGTAGTTGCAAAATATTGAACACAAAAAAACACGATGTGTGAATTTTTTTTTTCATTTTTCATTTTTGTGAATACCACAAATATTACAATGTGTTACATTTTCCAGCATCATATCATCGCTATCATTATAATTATCGAAAAACACGAATCTTACTGTTTTAAAAAAAAATCACTTACACCAACGTGTAAAGATTATGATTACAAACTAGGTCGAAAATTACTGAACTCATTTCATTTAATCCTAGTTTTTTTTTTTTTTTTTTTTGTTTTTCCTCATAAAATGTATCACTATGCCTAAGAAAATACGCTTCCCAGCAAAGTCAAAGAGCGTAATTGATTTATCTAAGTCGCTAATACGAGATAGAGAGAAAGAGATAGAAAAAGTTGAATTAATTTAGTCAAAAAAAGCGCTCCAATCACAAACGACAATTTACCAAAAATCTTCTCTTTCAACCAAAAAAAAAAATTTTTTTTTTCCTTCACGTCATTCGATTTTTTCTTAAATAGTAAAAATAAGCAAAATAATTTTTTTAAAAATTTGGTAGGAAAAAAGTCCTTGTGACGAGAGTGCCATTTTTTCTTTTTTAAAAAAAAGAAAGAAGAAAAAATACGAGAACAATTAAAAGGCAGAAACCTTGTTTTGTTTTTTAAATTTACAATTTAATTTTTCTTAGATGTTTTATCATCTAATGAGAGGGTTGGTGGGTGGGGAAAAAATTTTGGAATGTCGAGGACTCCGCTGATAATTGTTCCCGGTTCTCTCGATGTCAATTTCTTCATTAAAAAAAAAAAAAAAAAAAAATTGTTTTTCTTTTTTTTTACCAAAGAAAATGTCTTCGAGATGATTCGATATTTATATAGATACATTAATTTGTGTATATATTTATATAAATATATATTTTTAATGCACTGAGAAATTTTTTTTCAGAAAAAAAAAAAAAAAAAAAGTTTTGTTTTCTCGAAAAATTTTTTTTTTCGCCTCGTTAGTGTTAATTTTTTTTTTGGAGAAAAAGTTGAATATAGAAGTTTAGTTTATAGTTTTTTTTCTCTTCAAATTCTTCCCC